TAATTTTTTACATTAATGATAGGTGTACGTCTCTCATTCAAAACAGTTCACATAGTCACTACACTTGACACAGCAGATCAAAAACTCAACGACAAAATAATTCATCACTTATAGACATTTTATTTCATGGTCCTCTACTTCAGACACTTGACACTTCTTTTTGGTTGGTTTCCCAAGATATAAAATGGCAGAATAATTTGTAATAAAGTAACTTATTATATTAGCTTTTACAATATATTTTTTATCATATATAATATATTCATATCCCCCCTAGGGTGCCCCACAACTGGTTCCGTTCCGTTCCGTTTCGTTCCGCAAAGTACCATGATTAGCCTTATTTGGCAAACAAGTAGACTACACTAAGATACATAATTCTGTGCATCGGTTTTTAGCTCTACTGGTCAGAGACCAGAAGAGATTATTGGTTAGTAATGCGTCCGTCATCCGTCTGTCTGTCTGTAAACAATTTTTCAAAATGCTACTCCTCCTACAGTTTTGGTCCAATTTCAATATAACTAGGCACACAAGTAGACTACACTAAGATACATAATTCTATGCATCGGTTTCTGATTTCGATGAACGATGTTGCTGTGGTTACTAAAAATATAAATTTCTGTGAAATTCTTTCAAAATGCTACTCCTCCTACAGTTTTGGTCTGATTTCAATATAACTTGGCACACAAGTAGACTACACTAAGATACATAATTCTGTGCATCGGTTTTTGATTTCAATGAATAGTGTTACCATGGTTACTGAAAATAGAAATTTCGTTGAAATTCTTTCAAAATGCTACTCCTCCTACAGTTTTGGTCTGATTTCAGTGTAACTTGGCACACAAGTAGACTACACTAAGATACATAATTCTCTGCATGGGTTTTTGATTTCGATGAACAGTGTTGCCATGGTAACTAAAAATAGAAATTCCTGTGAAATTCTTTAAAAATGCTACTTCTCCTACAGTTTTGGTCCGATTACAATATAATTTGGCACACAAGTAGACTACACTAAGATACATGATTCTTTGCATCAGTTTTTGCTATCAATGAAAGGTGTTGCCATGGTTACTAAAAATAGAAAATTCTGTATAATTCTTTCAAAATGCTATTCCTCCAACAGTTTTGGTCCGATTTCAATATAATTTGGCAAACAAGTAGACTACACTAAGATACATAATTCTGTGCATCGGTTTTTGATTTGGATGAATGGTGCTGCCATGGTTACTAAAAATATAAATTTCTGTGAAATTCTTCCAAAATGCTATTCCTCCCACAGTTTTGGTCCAATTTCATTGTAACTTGGCACACAAGTAGACTATACTAAGATACATAATTCTGTGCATTCGTTTTTATTTTGATGAGTGGCAAGGATCATTTTTCTATTTATTGCTGTTTTAAAGTTTCAAGCTTTTCTCTTCCTTTGTTTTAAGTATAAACCAGTAAAGCTACAGTCTCAACAGAGATTTCTAGTTGATTTTGATGAGCGGTGCTGCCATGGTTACTAAATATAGAAATTTCTGTGAAATTCTTTCAAAATGCTACTTCTCTTACAGTTTGGGTGCAATATCAATATAACTTGGCACACAAGTAGACTACACTAAGATACATAATTCTCTGCATGGGTTTTGATTTCGATGAACAGTGTTTCCATGATTACTAAAAATAGAAATTTCTGTGAAATTCTTTCACAATGCTATTCCAGCTCTATTCCAGCTCCTACAGTTTTGGTCCGATTTCAATATAACTTGGCACACAAGTAGACTATACTAAGATACATAATTCTGTGCATCAGTTTTTATTTTGATGAGCGGCAAGGATCATTTGTCTATTTATTGCTGTTTTAAAGTTTCAAGTCCCAACTGCTACTTTTCTGTTCCTTTGTTTTAAGTATAAACCAGTAGAGCTACAGTCTCGACAGAGACTTCTGGTTTTTAACTGACAAATAACATTTTGTAAAAGTAAAATTAGAGTTATAAATAAGATAGATTTCTATATATAAGTTTTCGATGTTCAAAGATCATCAAGTATGCTTGACAAAAGTAAGTGACTTTAATTAATGATACAGTTTTTAACAATTAATTAGGATAAAACATAATCTGCCCTTCAAGTAACTGAAAGGTGACAGAATATGTCTGTTGTTGACTCAGATGACCTTTCCAGATTGACCTTTCAGTGACCATCAGTAAAGAAGTAATTCTGGACCTGTTTAAAATACCATTGATTCAAAATGACCATTTTTCATAATATATATGCTCTAGATTTTTATATATGTTCCCTGAAATGTATTTCCTTCTGAAAATGACTGACATTCAGGATATAAATTGAGAGATGTACTTCTTTAAAATCTTATTGTCTTCATTGTCTTCTTAAATCATCTTTAACATATATTAACCTCCCCCGTTTCTGAGAAATGTCCCTAATAGAACTAAACACAGTAACACTTGTATTAATTCCAGTTGTTTTGTATCCACTTCTGGTAAGAGATTTCCTGTTTTTCAGATAAAGTCATTTAGGGTTAAGTGTTGACCTAAAAATCAAAATTTAATTGTGAAACATTAATTCAAAATATATATTAAAAAAAAGGTTTCAAATCTTAAAATGGACTGTGATTAGTAATGTTTTGAGAAAAGCTAGAATTCATAAAATGCCTCTATTTCCATGTTGGCCCTGAATGGAAACTTTCAGAACACTGTTATTGAGGCCAGTGACAAGAACCTAAACTAGACAATAGAGACCAAGTCCTTGTCAATTTCATAAAATGGAAAAAAAAAATAGGCCAATTGTTTAGCTAGGTCATAAAAATAAACATGCATTATAAGTCACATGGATGCTGGCAGGAAAATTCTTCTCAACAGATTATGCTTCAATGTACCAAAAAAGACCAGAAAGAACATGATGTACCAGTTGCACTCAGGCACATATCAACTCATCTTCGAAAAAATTTCCTGAATATGTGCTAATTAGTTAATTGAAATCTCTTCTGGGAAGAACAGTACATTGTCTTACATAACGTATTAAAATGAAATCGTTTATTGAAAATAAAAAATTCTTAGAAAACTCGGTACATATATCTGTTAGCTTTTTGAAGTTGAGGTTGTAATAAGAGACAAAGCTATAAATATAGTCATTTGACTTTCAACACTTTTGTTGTGCTTAATGTAAAATCAAGAAGACATACATTAAATGTATTTTGTCTGTCTGTCTGTCTATAGCTGTCACTCCATCCTAGCAGAGGTGTCTGTCACAAAAACTTTAACCTAATGGTCATAACTTTTGAATTAGAAGACATATACCGTAAATCTGGAAATTTTTGCGTCAATTTTTTGTGATTTTGGGTCAAAATGCTGTTGATTAATTTTTACGTTTCAAAATTTTGCAAATGACCACTGCTTTGTTTACATTTTCTTATTGGTGATTTATTTTTAAGAAAAATATTTTTGCGAATGCAATGAACCCACAAATTTGCTAAAAATTTATCTACATCAAAAATTTCCAGATTTACGGTAGCTATCACATTTCAGATGTATGCATATACTTTCTTAAAATACTATGTGAATGCAGATACATGTACAGTGGACCTTCAGATATCCGGACCCCAGATATCTGGATGCTTCAGTATCCGGACGATTTTTCATCGGAATGGAAATTGTAAATGTAATTTTGTCTTGTGTAACTGGTGATTCAGGTATCCGGACACTTCACATATCCGGACAAATTGACTGGGAACAAAAGTGTCTGGATAAATGAGGCTCCACTGTATTGAAATTTGACCAATTGACCTCTAAGTTTAAATCATTTTCCAAAAATTTAACATTGGTAATCATGTTTTGGATATATTAGGCATTCATATTTGACAAGAGCCATATATATCCTTTGTAAAAAAGTTTGTGAATTTGCTTTGATACAAGAAATTTCTTTCCATTCTGAGAGTACCTGTACATGTAACCACGCAGCTAGGATAAGGCTGCCCGTAAAATATCAAACTGTTCAAACTGTACTTAGTTCTCTGAACTACCTAGATCTGACGTCATAATAGAATATGACGTCAAGTCACTGCATACTTGAGCTGACATGACGGGGAAAGTGTCATAATTTTAACATGACATGTAGATTTATTTTGGGAACTTGTTGTTTAATTTTAGTGTTAGGATTGTTTTTAAGCTGTGCAGTTTTGATGTTGAGCATTTGAAATTGAGATATCCTAATTCCTTTTGCTTGTCCGATATGCACATATTCAAACAATAGCAAAAAATTATGTGTGAATCGCTCCCCTTACACGTCCGTAGACAAAGATAAAAATTTTGAATCGTGTTTATATTGGACTGGCACAAATGATTAACAAGGATAAATTGAATTTATTCTGCGTAAATCTACAAGAGAAATATGTCCTCTAACTGAATTTTGCTGTATAAAGTTTATCCATTTTTTGTATAAATCGCGATAAAGAGTGGAAAATACCCCTTCATATGATGATAAGTTTAATTTTTTGTGAAATATTTTCTTAACGAGTAAAAATTAAACCTGCCCCCAGCACTTTCTATCTACCAGAGATCACGATGAATTGATCCATGTAACAGGCTTTGCACAATATATTTGTTTTGCACTTGTGCTGAAGCGATTTTGTGCAACAATTAGGATTATCATAAATCTCCGTCACGTGATCAACACAGTCATGTGACATCACATGAATGGTTTAAAATAAAACCTGATTAAATTATTATCTCAAGTTGTCTGCAATTTCAAACAAGGATTACATATTATAATTAAAATCTAGCTCAGTATAAAAGTATATTTTCAAGGCACTTTAAGCCTTCGGACAGCCTTATCATAACTGTGCAATTAAGATTTATCATAATTTTTGTCTTTAACTTACAGTGTATATATTTAACCCTATACTGTTTTTAAAGCTATTAAGTGCATTTCTTGGTATATACTACATACATATATAAAATACGTATACATGTATATATTAAGTAATTCCACAATTCTTTTTTTATTTTCAGCATTCGGAAGTTTTATTTCCTTTCTAGCTAATCGCCCAGATGTAGATCATATCTGTGCAGACTTGGTGGAAGTGGAAAGTAACAATCTCGCTGCATTGGAATTATGATGAGGGGCCATTTCAGTGGTGTGCTGGGATTTTCTCTCATTCTGAGTTTGTGCTCTTCAGCTGGTGGGTTTATCTTTGGTGGTGATGGTGATGTTGCTGTTGGAGGTAAATGTTTGTTATGATGAACATGATGAAGTTGTATATGCACATTCTTTAGAAAAAAAAAGGAAATGTCCTCTCTTTTCAATTATTTATTGTTTCTATGGTATTGTAATTTAACCATTTTTGAATTTAAATGCTGTTTATTTGCAAGAGCATGCACATAACCCCTCCTGTTAGGCTTTGTTTTTACACAATTTATGGTATTTGTTAGGCCAACAATAAAAAAAAAATTTCGATGTACTCCGACTGAGTCCCGTCAACACCTCTAGTGTTATTTAGGTATTGTATCAAAAATTAAGGACTTTGTTATTAAACTTTGAGCAAAATTCCTGTCAATTTATTATGAAACATCAGACTTCCATGGCACCTGATCCTACCTCTGATGCTTTAGAGGTACGTGTTTGTTCTGCTCCTGCTTTGTATACATTGTTTTAAATGGACTTAATAGTAACTGTTCATGATCTCCATAGTTCATCAAACTAATTTAAACTCAATTTATTTTGGTAAATATACACTCTAGTATGTAAAAAAAAGTATACTAGTATGTACTTTAAAAAAAAATTAAAAAAGATCTGTTTATGAAATTTACTGTAGGAATTAAAGGGGTATAACTCTTGTCAATTTAGAAATGTTTTTGTTAAGGATATCCGATCCTCAGCCAGGAAGGATAACTCCAAAAATACATATTTAATTTGAAATGCATCAAAATGAAGCTTGAAAATGAATTTTTTTCATGCAACAATTTTAATTATATTCATCTTTATAAGTTTCAAGGTTTTTGAAAGTCTTAGAAAAGGTCTTATAAAAGTTGACATTTGTACCCTATAAAAGGAAAAAGAATCAATACAGTTTTAGAGAAATAAGATTTTCTTGAATCCAGCCTTATATACCAATGATTATTAGCATGATGTGAAATAAGAAGTGATTTGTTGTGTCTTGCAATGATAGCAAAAGCTTTTTACACTATGTATTATAGAATACATGACGGAAATAGAAGACAAAAAATACTAAATAAGTATAAAAAGCATGACAATTTCTCTCAATGCCTGGATACCTATCGTTTTTTAACCTAAAATATATTTGTTGATCAATTTGCAATTAAAAAATGCAAAGCTAATATTCCTATTCGTTTTTTCTGCAAAAATTTTGGAGATGTGATGATTTTCCCTATATAATATAATTAAATTTAATCTTGAACTTTAAAGAAACACTGTGGATAAATTTACATAACTTTGTGGATTCAGAGATACTTTTATGAGTACTTTTGATTACTTAACTGCTAATTTTATAAACCTGAGGATCGGACTACCTTAATTAAAATTTTTGTGCATAAATTGTTCTAGCTTCAAGATATTAAAAGGAAATTATTAAGCATTATAAGCAGTGTATACTTTTGTCCAGCTTTACTCCAGATTTTGAACGATCTAAGTCAGTTGCTGTCAGTTGCCCTCCCTCCTTTCCATTATTTTTTTGTTGCAGTAGGGTAGAAAATGTGTCATATTATATTGCACAAACATATTGTTAAAATTTTAGAGGAAGATCCCACCCCTCCTGAGTTTTGGCAGTTAAATTTTTATTTGTCTATTAAAACATTTATTTTGTGACTGTCCCTCAATTTCCCCTATCCCTTATAGTCCAGTCAATCTAGCTCAAAAACACCCAAACCTCAAACAAATTGCAACAGAAATTATTCCAGTGGAATTTTGTCATTTATAATGTGCCTTTTGATATATTTTGATAAACTCTAGAAAAATATATTTGTCCAAACATCATTTTTTTTCGATTATCAAAATACCCAATATTTGTTAAAAAATACCAATAAATCTCCTTTTGAATAGACATTCTATTTAAGCATAAAAATAGTTTTACCAGGAATATGATCTTGAAATTTTTTGACAGTCATGCAGAAATGCGTCTGCAAACTGAAACCGGTGATTATTTCATTAGTTGCTATGGATTCCTGTTCCCATGGCAACAGAAATAATAGAAAAATAAAATCTTTCCAATTCCTTAGTACGGCTTTGTGCAGGGACAAAAATATGTAGCATTAGTAAAGTATTGAATTATTAGTGAGGACCAAAGATAATTTTTAAAAAGTTTTAAGAGATAATGTAAGCACAGACATCCAATATTTTTTTTCGAGGGGGGGGGGGGGTCATAAAATCTCACAGATGTTAAGTCTCATAATTTTTTGACAAGCAAAAATAAATAAACAAACAAGTAATAAGAATTTAGAATAAATAATAAATAAAATAAATTTATTACAAGAGATATGCGATTTTATGGATATACCGGTAAATCACAATTTTTTTTTTGGGGGGGGGGGGTTAATACGTATTGTGATGCGGAGACCTAAATACCGGTATTTCGGAACATATCACAAAGTCCAGAAATTATTCATTTATTTATTCAACCTTTCAAATAAGAATTAAGGAAAGCCTAAAAAATATTGTAAAAGATGAAAAAAACGGCACCTTACCATCCAAACATGATCAATTTTATGCAGATAAAAAATTCAAAAAAGTGTTTTTCACTTTTAAGGTCAAGATCTAGTAAATGGAAGGTGCCTACAGATTTTTCAAATTTAAGAAATCAATTCGTTTAATGATGCTTTATAACATAAGCTTGGTCAAAACAGGTGTTTCGGGGCATAATTTGTAGAAAAATAAGATGTAAAACCATATTTTAAAATGTCATTTCAATGAAAAACTAAGAAAACCAGTATTGAAAATGGGAGTTTTTTTCCAAATCAGAGAAAGAAAATGTATCCAGATTGCCTACAGTTTTTCTGAAAACGGTTATTTGTATGTTCTTAGTCTCTACTTTAAAATAATGTTAAATTTAAGATAGGTATCGGGACTACTTTTCATGTGATTTCAAATTGAATTCCATGAAAATACTTAATTTTCTAAATATTTCTATTAGTCTAAGAGCCGTAAAGTACGGTAAAAAGAAAGTTGAAAGTGATTATGACGTCATAATGGATTTAGCTCTGAAAAGTTATTCTAAAGTCATTTACTAGATCTTGACCTTAAGAAAAATAATGTCATCTAAAATCATTGTAAAAATTGCTTGTAAAAATATCATGATATTATCGTGATATTTTGGGGGAAAAATCGTGATATATCGTGATACGGAATTTTTGACGATACTCATCTCTATATGAAATTACCTCAAACTTCAAAACCTCTTTCAGCGGATGGGGTGGTCTATTTTTATAAGGTATATGACTTCTTTACATTTTAACGAGTCCTTGGGAATGGGTTCATGGACATTACATACCGGAAGAACCTTTTAACTCTAAAAATTTCAGAGGGAGGGGACTCTCCCCGATATATCTACCTTTATAGCAATGCATATGCATGGGACATTCATTCGAAATATGTTATATCTACATGTATAGTTAAGTAAAACTTGAACGAAGTCTTAAAAGTCAGACCCCCTCCCCCCAATGCTTTTATTTGAAACGTTAAAGATATGAAAGAAATAAGACATAAAATCCACTGAAGATGCCAGGGAATTCCTTAAAAAATGCATTAATGATTATCTTGAAACTGGAACTGGTTTCTCTCCTAAATGTTAACCTCAATATAGTATCCGAATTGCTTCTCATTGTATTCAATATAATGTCCATTGCTAGTTTTTATATTCTTTCGGATTTATTTTGTAATTTTGTGTGTGGTGGGGGAAATCACATTATCAATTAAGCTCTTGGCACTTTGAAGTAAACGTTGCAGGTTTTCGGGATGAGAGCGTTTCATGTTACATGTAGTCGTTGACATGCTCAATGGCCCTAAGCACCGAGTAAAAGTCTGAATTTGAAGACCTTCGATATATGGTGAAGTTATTATTTAAGTAAAAAGTTCTCAGGAGGGGCGTAAAACATCACACAATCAAGCAATCTGGGTCCTTTGGATGAGACCTATAAACCGAGGTACGAGTAAAGGACAAAATTTGCAGCTCTCCACTTGCAAGTGCATGGTGGCGTCTCCAAAAGTAGTGAAAAATTCTCAAGAGGGATGTTAAACAACAATCAAACAAACTAGCGCTATTTATATATGGCATTGAGTCTTTCTTATGACAATTAAAATTTCTATGCAGTTTTAAATGATAAAGTCTACTTACTGTGATAGGAAAATAGTATTTTTAATAACGTTTCCTATATATACATGTGTATTTGAATAATTTTTTATTGAAGTAAAAAGTTCTCGAGCGGGGCGTAAAACAACATACTATCAACCGATCTGGGCCCTTTGGGTGAGACCTATAAACAGAGGTCCCACGAAAAAGATCCCTCAGTCTGTTGTAATTTGGATAAGTTGAAAATATTGCGTAGTTTTTAAAAAGCTGAAATGCACAAATCTATTACATAATAGGATATGTTTTAAAAAATATATGAAAATCTTACAATGCGGGCTATTTCAAAGACTTCCCATAAAATTAAATCCCTTGTGTGACCCTACTTGGCTCCAGGGTTATGTTCAGAAATAACCAGAAGCCAAATGTGAATAAAAGTCATTTATAATGTTTAAGAAATATATTTACAAATTACAAATACAGTAAAATAAACTTTACATAATGAGCACCATTGCAATACTAATTAAAACACACACAGGTCAAGAATAATGCCATCTTTAAAATAATGCTTGTTTAATGCAAATAAACAATTTAATAAACAAATAATGCTTCTCCAGACTCAGGGTAAAATTATTTGTAAAATCCTTTTTCCTGAAAATTTCAACATATTTGTTGATGAGATAAGAGGTATAAAAAGGGAACATGTCCTGGAATGTAAGAAAAAAAAGCTTTGAAACTGTCCATTTTAGTCAGTGGGTCGGGAGAGGGCAACCAAACATTTTTTTAAAGATGTTCTAATCTATATTACATGTATTTTTACTAGTAAAGGAGATCTCACTAATAGAATCAATATTCTAAAGAGGAAAAAAAATCTTTTAACAAAGTCAAACAACAAAAGTTTAACTTTTAGATAATAAAATATTTTT